CCCCAGAATTAATGACCACAGCATTCATCACTGAAAACTGGATGCTAACCCTCATTGTTCTAGTCGACTCTTTTTGTTAAAGGCTCAAACTCAAGCACCCGCACCACTTGGCACGCCGACATGTAACGATCCCTGACTGGTTTACCTGTCAGCTTCGCACTCCGATTTGGTCCCGAAATATGCTTCGTAATTTGGACAATCACTTCAGGTGTTTTGCCTTGCCTTTGGTCTATGCGGAATGAATACTATAGAAGTTTTGAGTATTGGATCTTGTGTTAGTATACTTCGTACTATCCGTGAACTTCAATACCTTCAGCCCCCAACGTTTCCTTCTCCGAGTTTGTTTTACGAATCCCTTCCTGTTGGTTTAATCTTGTATTTGCAGTCAACGGATACAGCTGTTGATAAATATCCACAGCACACTTTTGTATTTTTCTGTGGTGACGCGTGAGCTTATTTGCTATCCCACAATAAAGCGTCAACTTATCATTTGTATCGAATATCTGAGTTTCATTCCTTATGCATAGGTCAGAAGACTTTCAAACTGACATCAGAGTGATAATTGTCAAAGTCGGCTTTCAGATTATGGTTTTGACATCCTTATCCGCGCTTCTGCCTGTATTTTAGAGAGTGTTGCCTGGATAATCAAAGTTGACCTCTTTGAAATATTTTTCTGCTGAGAGTGATTATTGTTTGATGATGTTTGGTTATTTTTATGGCCTCTGTCTTTATTTCCACAAGAATTCTCGCCTTTGTTGCTTCTCCTGTGGACATGCTGATTTTCGCTTGTAGGTCTACATTTTAGTGCAATATCAAACAAATTACCCGCGAAGTCCATATCTTCCAGACTATTGTTGTTGGTACGACGCACTCCTGTCTTCTCGCTCTCTGCACACAGTCTTCCGAATAATATATTCTACCGCAGTTAGACATATCGTCGTTGGTAGTAGCTAGCATTCTCTCACCCCTGTCTTCACTTCGCAGGTTTGCCGATTTTCCGTTGTGTGTTACATGTCATTTGTCATCCTCATTATCCGCTGAATGAGGTTGACAATGGTCTGAGACACTTCGCGGCGTTGAAGCAGTCTCCAAATTAATTCGCCATTAGAGCTGTTAAAGGCTTCTTCAAAACCAATGAAGTTGAGGTAGGACGTTGGTTTCTGATATATACATAACAATACAACCTCAGTTTTTGTACATGAGGGATGCCAGTTTGCGGGCATCATCAATGTGATAAATAATGTATACATAGATTAAGTATACCCATAACTTTTCACTTACACAGGACATATATACAGAGCATGGTAGTGGAATAATGTCAATGGGCACAGTCTACAGTTTACATGATATAAACCTGATGTGTGTCGCGGTACGCACATATTTTCGTCGGTATTCGCTTATTGCATTCTACTCAATTATCGCCAATTACAGAGAGCCAAAGCTGTAACAAGCGTGTTCTTAAGAACGAGACAACTTAGAAAATTGCATGCGCTCTTCCAGTAACGCATCACTTATGAAATCAATTGTTATTAGTAGCTCACCTAATATAAATGTCTCCAACATAATCCTAACCACTTTAATACAGGTAGAAGATATTCCGTCAGAAAAGACAGATTTCTAACTTAATCTGCATCATAAACGACTTGCGCCTACAAATAAAATATCTCAAGACGAAATTAGGTCTACCTGATTTCATGTCAGTAGCTATCTTGCATATTAAAAAGGAACTGGATGATTTCAACTTTCTCAGGCTCCTTACAATTAAGATACAATTAAGATAAACATTTATAAATGCATAATATATAAATGTCCTTTTCATGTTAACATACTTTCTCTTTTTGATACTCTGCTACTCCTATTCATCTTCTGGTCGAGGTCGAACAACCTGCATCTAAACTGAAATGAGGATTAATTCCAAACCGTTTATCTCATAGCCACTCAAATTCCATGAACGATCCAATTCTACCATTTGAAGACGCTGGCGAACATGCTGTAAATGAGTATTCATGATCTGAAATGAAGAAGCAACTGGTCTTCAAATAGTTTTCAACATTTTACTCAACTTACGAATACAGTCCGCCATGCAGACACAAATGGAGTAAATGGAGAATTCTGGAATCGACCTCGGCACCACTTGATGCAGTAAAACAACCCAACATGACCTTATCTAGTTTTCGTATCCACGATCAGATTTCTTTCCTGTTATAAAACTACGATAAGACTACTGAAAAAATGGAATAAATATATCACTGATCTCAACATAATACATCAATAATCTTTAAGCCAAGGGTGCTGTTCACAACAAAGTTATATAGGAGAATTGACTTCAAGCTTTATTTTTCCCAGATATTTGTATTACATTCAACTGATGTCTGGGTTTTTGTTAATGCGAAGACAATATTTCTTTATTTGTTGCACAAACAGACTTTATAGCAGACTGTTCCGACTGACTTTGATGTCAGAAACAACAACCAAACTGTAAATCCATTATACATCAAATTATGTGTAATTTATATAATAACTTATCCACGCCTGTACAATTGGTATGTTCCTGCATAAACAGGAAGAAATATATATATTATTAATTCGAAGTCTGAATCAACCCATATTGAATCGAAAGTGCTAAAGACGTGGAGAATACCATGGACCTTTTGTCAAGTGAGGTTGTTAAGAAGCTTACTTCTAAAGCAGGAAGTGACACTCTTATAGTATTAGGTTAACAAAGGACGTGTAAAAGTGAGGCGAAACTGGAAAAGAACCAGTAACACTGAGACCAGTCTCAAAGTTCATGAGAGCACTTCAGAAAATGTGCCGACCCAGCACACGAAGGAGACAGGATGTTCCCACTACTGATAAGCTACAAATATCGATAGATAACGCTCCACTTAGCGTCACACAAGATAATCTCATAGTAGAAAATGGAAAAAAGTCCGAAAACCCTAAGGTCCCACTACATGAGTCCATGTACCTTCCTTGCTCTAAACCCAACAGAGAACATGTAAACCTAGAAAAGGACTATGCAGGTCCCATAAAGGAGACAGAACATGTGAGCATAAGTGCTCTTCTCCAAACTAAGAGCAGTAGACAAACTGTGGGCGCAGACTAAGTGAGTTGAGAGCACCAAGAAAGCTTTATCCATACACATGCTATCAGGAGTACATGAGGCGGCAAAGTGATCAATTAGCGGAATGAGATCCACAGCTTCCATGATAGCTGAGGTTGTGATATACATACAGTCGCATATAACATGAGAACGGGATCCATTATGAAAAATCCGAACACATGGATGACTAGACGGGATACCACTAGGTTCCAAATGAATGGAAATTTATATCCGAACCCTAGTAGTAGTTACGTAAACCCCCATTGGCGTAACGGGTATAGATTGGCTCACAGTCCTTCTGTGTACACGTACAAAATGGGTCAACCAATCTGCGTCTAGGAAAGACTTACCATGCTCTACTCCCAAGGCAATCTACAAATGAGGTGATTAGGCCATGTAAACTTCGACCCGAACAGTAGAACAGATTATATAATCCTGTATACGCAGCAAGATGATTTTCCGGTGCAGTAAACAATCTCATGAACCCTCAATGATGAGAGTTCAACTTTAGGGCTTACTAGAGTCCATATTACCTTGCGTTCTGCAGATATCAGCATCAAGCAAAGTTTTCTGATAAAGGTGCGGCAATGCAACGTGGTTCAAGAATGTAGTGACATCACCAAATTTGCGCCACAAGAGGATCTTTACTGCATAAATTCACTTAAAGGATATAAAAGAAATATAGCTCGTCATTACACTATCATAGCACCGGCCTGCGATGCTACAACTAGTGGCGGTATGTAATAAAACCACTGGCTTTTTATCCTTCGCGTGCACAATGGAGCACACTTCACACTGCTGTGAGACTTATCCACTCTTTAACAGGTGCGTTTCTTCGCACTGCCGGCGTCTTTAGAGGAGGAAGAGTTAGCACCTTTACACCATTCAGTGCCAGGCGAAATCCTATCTCACTGGTGTGGTGTTCATAGCTCTCAAATAGTTCCTTTCTCGGCTAGCCTAAGTTTCGCATGCTGTCATTATTTGGTTCTATTCTCAATACCATAATAATAGTCAAGCCCAAGTTTAGCCTAATCGATGAAAAGCAAAGGCACCGATGTAAAGCCCAAAATATAGCTCCTGAAGTAAGTCATTTCAGCAGAAATCCTCAGGAAAGCTGCTTTTAGAAGGAGGGACCTGTAAAACGCAGTCAGATATGTCCACACTAAAATTGCTCCAGAGTTTGTTCTCGTAATCCTGGATGGTTATGTTACTGTGTATATGTTCCGAAAGTGACGGTCAGATTTCTGATAACCCTCGCATCGGCCTACACTGATCCGGTGAACTTGTTAGAAACGTTTCGGTGAAACGGATCTCTCGAGTCAATTAAAGCTCTTCCGCCCCCAGAAAAATGCTGTAGTTATCAAATCTCAATTGGCTCGTGAAAACGATATTGGAAATTTCAGATTGCTTTCTTTTGCTTTGTACGTAGATTACTGAGAGAGGAAACGAAATATATCTGCCTGAAACCTAAGTAATTCGAAGTCTCTTTGATCTTTTTATCACTTAATAGTTGAAATTACTTCAAACTATTTAACTGCGTAATCTTTCGACGCCTACTTCAACCGCGGTTTATAAATATCATACCTTTCTGTTGCTATGGTTTCGAGGACTTAACTTTACCAGTATTTGTGCCGTTTTATCTGAACGGTTGTACTGAAATCATTTGGTTTTTATTGCGAGATGAGGTCTATAATATGGAACGAAAATTTTTGGTTTCCTGCTAATGTTACATGGGAGTTAATAGAGGAAATTAATTCAGTTGGAGTTGCACCAACGTTGAGAAAATCAATGGATTGTTTGTATGTAGTAGTTTTTCTCACAGTTATTCGTCACTATCTCAAGGAGTATGTTCGTGCATATTATTTGCATTCTTTGTCCAGGTTTGTGTTTCTATCCCATGGTTTGTCAATGGGCTTACGAGCCCGAAACAGACTTGTGTTCCTCATATACCCTATTAGAGGAAGTCTACTATAAAGAAAAAAGACCAAACAGTGATCGAATCAAGGTAATTCCTTTAGTTTGGTCAAATATATGTCAGGAAATTGCAAAGTCGCTAAAGCTAAATGAGCGTATGGTCGAAATATGGTTTCGAAGAAGACGTAATCGGGAAAAGTCCCCTATAATCGTTAAATTTGTGGAGTCTGAGTAACTACTGTGGGATTCAATATAATTAGAGTCATTAGGTGGAAGTTTTGTTACTATACCACTATGTTCACATATGGATTATTCTCACTATACAAAGTAGGTTTGGTTTAACTTAACTAATTAAGTGATTTTTAGAAGTCCTACTTGTGGGATGTTAGAGATGCTATGCAGAATTATCCATATTATGTAAGTTTTCTAAACATATCGAACTTAACATTTGTTGCATGTGACTTTGAAGCAGCTAACATGTAGCCTTAATTTAGGCATTAGGAATGACTTTCTTTTTACTTGCCTCTTAATCGTTAGTTCTTTTTACAAACCAACTATAACTACCCTTATTATAGCTGTTATATCTGAAGCAAAGGGTGGTTTATGAAGGATGGATTCATGGTTAGGAATGCTAGTTTGAATTTGTAGTCTGGCAAAAGCTGAAAAATAGCTCTAAATAAATTGATGAACTTATTTTTGTTAGGGATGTGGGGGAAAAGAACATGAGGTTTTGGACCTAGGTATACAGCACACATGATGTTGTTCGAATTTGACCGTATGTCTCATCTTAGTGATTTGGAAATGTGTGTAAATCTATGCTAAATTAAGGTAGTCATTTTGGCGTGACTTTACGTCCTAAGAAATGCAATTTAATTTTTTTAGATCAATGATTTAAAATGACGATTTAGTGTAGTTAATGACTGAGAAAGGCTCCTATAATATATGTTAAATAAAGTCAAGCTGCCTGAGTACAAAGCGTTTTTTCACAAAATAAATGTGATAAAAGCCTCACTTTATTAGTTTTGGAATTTTCCCATTACTTTCAGTATTTCATTTAGCATTCAGGTTTGTCGTAAGCCAACAAAAAAGACAAAAGGTAACTCCATTATTACGATTTTATTTTGATTAATCACATTAATCATATGAGGTCTTGATGTGATTATGAGCAATAGTTTGTGCTCGAAATGCCATCAGTTAATATTATTGTATAACACTGTGTGATTTATTAAGATAAAATCTTATCTATAATGGAGTTATACTCTATCACAGTGCCCAAGTTTTATACTTATATCAGTAAACAAAAAGTAACATTTGAATGACAAAATTTCCGAATAAAATTTCATAGTAATAAACTAGATATGGGTCTTCAAGGAAATAGGCTCAAATGAATAGTTCTATTATGCCAAACTATGGTATGGATTTCTACTCATCCTCCTGGAGAGTGATGTCAACTAAAAAGTTTCAGTAATCCGACTGCTTTTTTATCCTTTTTTAAATGAAGTTACTAGTGAAATGAATTTATCGGTTTTTTGTCTTTAAATATTCTGAATGTATAAAAATCAAATTTTAGATAAATTGTATTTTTGTGGAAACCAACTCATCTGCTTAGACTCTGAATTTTCTGAGTTTCATAATGTGCATATTTTATTAAATGGTTTAAATTCATTTTCCTTTCTTTCATATTAGGTTATGCCTACGGAAATTCACTGGTATTACATGATACAACTCGGATATTATACAGCTTCATTAATATGGGTATTTTATGAAGTTAAACGGTCGGTGAGTATTATTTTTAATTAAAAGGTTTAGTTTATTCTTTAAGATAAAATTAAAGCTGAAGTACGAAGCAAAGCTCTCTTGTGCTGCAAGATTTTATATTGGTCTCTTTCTATGGACTCTTTTCTGAAGTACTAATTTCCAGTATATAAATTATCAGAACTTAGTGTTCGTGTAATTGAGTGTTCGATGACTTCATAACTTGATTCTGTTTATGAAAATAGCTTTTTGAAGTGTATTTTAGTTCGGAAATGTATTGATCTTTGTCTGTCTTTGATATGAGCATAATTTGAAAACGAAATTTCAAGCAAGAAAGATGTTGATTAATTTTCAAGAAACCTATGATAATTTCATCTCATAATGCGTTGCCAGTACTACCTTCTTAATGAATCATTTAACTAACACATTGTAATGCATGTTTTCGGGTTTAACTCCAAAAATAACTAATTAAATGACATTCAGTATGCTGTAGGTCTGTGGCTTTTGAAGTATCCATTCGGTGGCACAGTGGTTAGGACTCTCGCCGACTATGCACATGGTCCGAAGTTCGATCCTCTGCCGACACACACCTGATATCTATGGTCGGCCTACAAAATTTGGGCTACCGATATCACATGCTAAAAATTCCATACTTGTACCAAGAATACGGTGTGGAATCAAGCTGCAATAAAAAAAATCCAGGGGAACTACTTATATATATCGTTTAATTCCATGTCCTTTGAAATTTTGCATCATTTAGGAAAATTTAAGTTCCAGACATTATTTAGCTAATTGTATTAGTTAGTATGCTGTTTATCAATGACAGACGCCTTAGTGCCAGAATCTATCCATTACTGAGTAGCGCTTGCAAATGAAAACCTGAGCGAACGTTGCATTACTTTCTGGTGCCAGATATTTAGGAAATTAACTAGCGAAAATAAGCAAAATTAAAAGTGTTTAGGTTTTAAGCCAAATCTGATGACATCTCTTTTTTGACAAGTGACATGATTCATTTGATCCTTTCAGAGGATCGTAGTGTATTAATAGACATTAAGATGGACCAACTGTCCTATCCTACAACATAAGCTGATTAGGGAATACGCTGGCATGAAATCGACAAACATATCCAAATACCAAAGCCAATAACTTAAGGTGACAACCATCTTTTCCAACTAGTGTTATTGAACCTCAGAATTATTCACATGTTCCTTAACCTAAATGAAAGTGGGTCTATGGAAAGACTGACAACTAGACACATAAAATTGCTACTCATCTGCAGCCCTCGGGACTAAGAATCAACGGCTGGAGACAATAGGTGATATGGCTCAAAACCGTTGCCAATGGTGCAGATATATTCAGTCTCTGTAATCTTTCATACTCCTTTCTACCATTACTCATTATGTTTCACTCTTATACTTGTCAAACTCTATTGATTCTCTTTGCTCATCTTCTTGTCTACATTTGTGTGCTATTTAGAATGTGGTAACTCGAACTGCTGCACTTCGGTGCCAAGTTCTATGTTGAATCCAGACAGGCAGTCAGCTTGGAGAGACCAGGTTGTCAATCTTATTCTGGAGATATGACCAAATGGCTTTTTATTTCAATTTCAGATAGTTCATCTTAGTCTTGAATCTTACTATATCTCTTTAATCTTGTCTATAAGTGGTTTAGTAGGCAGGTTAGTGAAAGTCTGTTCAGAATAAGTGAGCTTTTCATCTTCTTTGACATCCGGACTATTATTATCTTGACAATACTTGTGATTTGGGGGTAATTTTAATAGGTTAGATTAGCAAACCTCTTTTAGCTTCGCTCAGCGAAAGGTAAGGTTGCAATTACGATGAAGACAAAATTTCCGTATGAGATGTTCATATACCAAAATACATCAGTAAATTTACATCTGGACATTTAAGTTCATAATTAATTTTATTGACTTTCTCTAAGAAACCAGCCATAGAATTATACTTTACAACTTAATGTCAAAAAGATCATTAGTTCTTATTAAACAAAATCTAGTTGACATTCAGTTGACCAATATTGTAAGCTAAGGATAGATTTATTGTGAATAGTTGTTTGGTCAGAACTAAGTTACCCAGTGGCCACTCACTAATCTTATTGAGCAACTGATAATGCTATTTAGTTACCTTTTGGTGAAGCAGCCATGATGGGACTCGAACGCGGAGCCCGTTGTTATCTTGGAGTCGAGTGCTTGATCCAATGAGTAAAATCTAGAGTGCATAGACTGTGATTAATATTATAATATTTAATGGAAACACAAGACAGCCAGTTTCATTTGGCCAAAACCCATTAGCTACTAGCATAATTCTTTTTTTGGTGGTTGCTAAAGACAGAATTTAGGATAGACATCTTATCCTTTTCGGAACTCGTTGGCTGAGTGTGCCCATCCCCGCTGATTTATGGTATCTTCATGAGATTTGGACCAGGGTTTTTCTCCTCAAATATCAAAGCGTTATCCACTAGACTATCAAAATTTTTTAATGAATGAGATCACTAGGATGATAAAATCAGTTGCTTAGGATACTTACAGTAGACAGACACTACTAAAATGATGCAAGGAATTATAGCCTATAGGCTTCAGTTTCAATATTCTCACACAGCTTTGAAGAGAATTATGATCATAAGAAAAGAGCGATAACAGTGTACGAACCAAAAGCTGATTATATCATGTGATTAAATTTTAAAATATATTGAAAGAAGTTGAGTGTTTTCAAGGGTTGATTCTCAGGGTTTTAATTGATTTCAAGATATATCATGAACTGAAATCATTAAGTGAACCACTGGAAACCAAGGAGCACTGGACACGTGTTCTGTCTTAATTTGGAACTTCACACTTGGTGAGTGACCAGTCTTGAAATCAATCTAGGGCTCATTGGTGACTGACTACAGGATGTAGTTTCTCGAGTTCCAGTAAGAAGTTGTGACCATTAAGCTTCACCAAGTCATAGCATGAGGTCTAATTCTTATAGATTACACTGGTTGGCAGTGGTGCGTTACATACCACAAAATGTCAGGAGTTAGTACTCATTGGCCTTAGGATTTTATTTCCCCGGCTAAATCATCAACAAACTGGCTTTACATTCCTAAAGGCTATGGGCTGAATCGCTTGGTCCAACGCAATGATGAGACAACTGTCAAGTACTCTGTGGCTTTCAATGGTTTTCTGTTTAATGCCACTTCATGATTAAACTTGGAATATGCAGTGATTTATGCTCATTATCAAATGATCATTATTATCTGATATAGGTTTAACTATATAATGTACTCAAGTAAAGTACTATTCGACTTTTTAAATTATTTCCGTTAAATCTCAGAGTAATTGTAGCATTAAACGCTCTACCTGTTTATATAACTATAAACCTGTGATGAATTCGATAACTTAAGTGATTAATGTCTGTGCCAAAAGTCACTGTTATTCAGTATAGAATCAAATTATCAGAAATCAATAATGACCTGACTAAAACATGTTAACAATCAATGAAGTTCTAATATATTGATCTTAGCTGCATAAAGACTTGTAGATTACCTCAAGCTTGTTGAGGATTTTTGAAAATTACCATCATAAGTAACAGATCTAGTAATAATACAATGTTGTACATGTATACTATGTACACTAATAATTTCTACGCATCTGTCCTCTCGAAATTCTAATTCTGCTGACTAATATGCTGTCCTGAAACCAAGCCGAAGCAGATGATTGTATTTGGGTGTTCTTATCCTTCTTTTTATCCCAATTAATTAGTAGAAAAAAGTTACACGTAACATTCTCAGAGTTATATATAAGCAACATATATATATCATTTATGCCTTTCAAATTCTGAAGTTCATACAAACTAATGATCTGGAATAAATAATGACCAACTAGCCCAGTTAGACCATTCGTTTCAATTAATCTATTGTGACTTGTTCGAAATGCATATTTAGCATCTCACCTTTGTCAATTAACTTTCCGATGAAGGGAGAAAATGAACCTATAGTGACAAAAGCAATCTGATGACTACAGATGATCATAAAGAAAAGACTATACTGGTGACTATGTTATTCTTCAGGAGGGTTTGAAAAAGTACATTCGCAATCGTCTCGTCACTTTCTGTCGCGGATGAAGGTTACTGATATGCCATAAAAGTCTGCTTACACACTTTTTTATTCCTTAACATTCCGAATGGAACATAGGGTCTCAAGCTAGAGTTTTGAATTTTCGGTAGCAGTTGTTTTATTTTTACGAGGTGAAAAAGTTGCTAGCCTCACTGCAAACCATCCCTCTTTACCGTCCTTACTACCACCCTGACGAGGTTGAGGAGTGTGTCAGGCGAGGATTAAACCAACTTCTTCACCCTTTTCTAATTTTCAGTTAGTTACGCCTTATAGACTCCACCTTACTTTATGAAATACATTTTGGAGGACAAATTTTGTCATTATCCGATTGATCTTATGAATTCTCAATTGAATATAACTACTATTATACAGCTCATGAAAATGAATCGTCGAAAAGAAAATGTTCTTCGCTGATGACGTGTTTTTTAATTTCTTACTTAATTTGGAAGTTCTGCCAACAGTGATGCTTATCTTTACGGGGTGGCGTTACTGGCTTCACGCAGAACCTTTCCTCTTTGCTGACTTAGCGAGATTCGGGAATCTGTCGGGCAGTGATCGAACTTCGGACGGCAGTATATGGTTGGAGGCATTCTGTCGTGAACCACCGATGTACCGCTGTTTAAAATAACGTTCGTTATCTGCGAATTACACGGTTCGAGTTGATCATTCTTCACAGTTTTCTCTTTAGAAAATCCAAATTATTCATATCACATTATATATGTCACCTGAACATCTTAAATAATTAACAACTAAATGGTATTGATTAAAAACTCAATGTATGGGTTTTTAAATCAAAAGATATATCTTACTTCAGTATTTGTTCCATATGAAATTACCAAGTCAAGCAGTAAAGGCGTCACGGTCAGTGAAAATAATTTCAGTGATCATCATAGAAATGAAGAGACAGGTTTTCTATTGATGCTTACAGGTACAATTTTATAAATTTGGGAAATAAACCAGTGATAATGAATTGAAAAGATGGGAGTATTTATATATTTGTTTTGGTCCCACTCTTGTGTAGCCAAAAAGTAACTGTCTCGAAAATATTCCAAAAACAAAGAGAATATATATATATATATAATAAACTCACATGATCGCACTTTATTGACGTGGATGGCTGAAAAATCTTCTCTCAGTGCCTCTTTAAGGTTAGAACAGTTTGATTTGTTAAATGATTCAGTGTTGATACAACCCCTTTTATACAACCGTTCTTTAGCACAAGAACTGTTAAAATCTAATGGAAAGCTTATGAATCTGCATGTACAAAAGTAAAAATTACCTATTTATACATTACTCATGTAATCATGGTTCGATTAAAGGCCTTCAGTGTTCGCCTAGACGATGGTAACCAGTTGCTTGGAGCCTTGAAATAAGCGTATAGTCTTAATTATCATGTCATTTTACGTTAATTTAAACTAGTATTCCACTGACATAACCATCCTTAAAATATTGAAGAGCAGAGAAATGCAAGACGTGTAATTCATCCTGTTTTGGGGCTAGTCAGCTGAATGTACCTTCATTAGAATGAGTGGTGATTTTGTTCTCAATGAAATTCGGACCTAGCAATTATACTTTCAAACGCCAAAGTACTACTCACTAGACTACTGTGACACAAATGACACTGCTTATGCAACGTTCATAATTTGAATAGTTTTCTTTTATGATGTTCTCTAATCTTTAATATCTAATTAGGAGTATTTAATCATGAAACTGAGGGACATAACTGATATCGAATCTATTTTCTCAATTCTTCTTCTTCTTCTTGTCAGTGTTTGAAGCCCGTTTTTGGGTAGAAGTTTCTAACATATATTGAAAAGATTGCGGTCATTTTATGACTGGTCATCACAGCAGCATACTTACACGTTATCTCACATCAAGTTTTGACGACAATGTTCAATACTTTGTAACTATTTACTTTAATTTACTCCAAATGATTTACCATTTTATTGTGGTTCCTCTTGCCATTTTGAACTGTTATAGGAAGATAAACTGTTATGCATTTTTATTGTCTCTTATATTGTTACTGCAGTTCAATTTTGAAGGTATTATAGCCACAAATAACAAATAATACTGGGTTTACGATTGTTATTATTATTTTTCCTTGGGTTCCGACTGGTGCATGAGGCTACATCAACACATCTTCTCTAGCCGACCCCTCAATTGTCCATAATCTCTCATGTCCTCCTCATACGATCTGCTCCATAACACCCTCCTTGTTGAGGGCCTGGCGCGTAATTTCACTCAACAATCTCTTCAGCATATGTCCGATCCACCTCCATTCCATTCTGTATATCTGTTGGATTTGGATTTATTCTAGGTGTTACTCCAACGCATGAAAATATATACAACTAATCACATGAATACCATTGCCATACTGAAAAAGATGCAGAAGACTGAAGGAGAAGGCAAAGATTTATTGCGCTAGGATAGACACCCTATCAGTGGAATTTGCAGTTGTTTATATCGCTACTTTCTATAACCAATAAATTACCAGTTTAAGATAATAAAAAACATGTTCTGACTGGATAACAGGCAGTATTAAAAATATTCTGACATTACCTTTCAGTCGTTTTAAAGTTGAATGTCTGGGTTACAGGTCACGTAAAAATTCAGCCACAATATATCTCTCCACTTTCATATCAGAAGGTCAAAAACGGTGCCTACTTTATGTAATCGCTATATGCTTGTAAATGAGTTCAATAATGACTTAAACATTTGTGTTTACCCTCGCACTTTTCGTAATATTGAGTAGCAGAGGCTAAGAGTCAGTTGAGAAGTCTATCTATTCTACGTAAGTTCTATGCCTGCTATGTGGCTTATTGCCTTGACTTTCAGTCTGTGGGTCCCAGGCAAGAATCTTGCTCTCCATGTGGTGGGACCAGGCTGCTAGCCAATTGGTAGACATCAGTCTACGTCAGTGTCTAGGTCACTAATATTGGCCGTGAGAAAATATGAACAAGGCTGATTCAACAACCAATCACAGCAGACTTAACGTGGGCAAATATGATTCGTAGATAGATGGCTCCATTTTCCGAGGTTACCCGAAACAACCAATCAGAAGACTGCGTTTGTCTATTTGAATAAGCTATAATAATGTACAGGAAATATATATAAATATGTGTTGATTTGCGTAATAAAACGATCTGTTGTCGGCCCTTGTCTTCTGTTGTTACACCCATAATTCGACCTGGGTAAAGAATGAAGCAGTATCATCATCCGTTACAAAATATGTCTGGTGAATGTCTCGATGGACGACAAATACACTCCAGACAACTAAATTTGTCTACTGGAACTCATTATAGGTTAATATTTGAGGAGTAAAGACATCAGAACTTACGTTTTGATTTCTGAACTGTCTACCCATAGAAGCGAAAGATGCACATAAATTAATCGCTTGATTTTCACTGGCTGTTTTTTTCACAATTCTTTACTGATGATTAAAGTTCATCGATCAAGGTTGTAATTTGCCACATTTCATTCCCTTCGAAATTCAGAACTAAACATTTGTCTGTTTAAAACCAGGGCTAGAATACTGTGTAACAGTGCAGTTCAGTAGTAAATAGCAATATGGTCATCTACTTCAAACTCGCCTTAATGCTATTAGATATTTTTCACTTCTTTGAGTTTCCAGTGGAACATAGAGGATCAGAGACTTGGCGAGTCATAAAGAGCATCTCAAACAAACTTCAAACCTTCATTAACAGCTGTCTCCGCTCAATACTCAAGATCAAATGGCCAGAAAAGATCAGCAACAGGGATCTCTGGGAGCGAACAAATCAGGAACCGATTGTGAAACAAATAGGCAGAAAGAAATGGAGATGGATTGGCCATACGGTGAGGAAACCATCAAGTGACATCACTAGACAAGCCATTGCTCGAGTGGAACCCGAAAGGGAGGCGGCGAGTTGGTCGTCCAAGGGTGACTTGGAGGAGGTCATGCGAGGAGGAGATGAAAGCATGTGGACATACCTGGAGCAGGGTGAAAAAGTTGTCAGAAAACCGAAAGCAATGGAGGTGCGCAGCTGAAGCCCTATGTTCCTCTAGGAACTAAAGGATATAATAATATAATAATAGAGGTTCAAGCTTTTGAGCTGTGGAGTTCTACTAGCAGTGGTATTGTTTTGACGTGGTATTGTTACCGGCTTTACACCCAACCTTGCCCTTTTCCCAGAGTTACTACCTGCCAGGAGAGGTTTAGAAGTACATTGTCCAAGAATTGGGCTTGAGCCATTTGTATGGTTGGTAAGGCTTCTACTACTGAACCACTGATGCACAATGATAATCGATAATATCCATAAAAATTCTCATTTCGTTATTTCTATTGTATTATTATGATTCTGGCAATTATTGTTCCATTTGAGATAAGATTATTTGTTATAACACAGTTATGATACATTGTTGATAACTGAATGACGTTTAGAGAACAACTGACTGTTTATAATCATATCAATGTATGCTATAAGCAGCTTTAATCTCTCTTGTTTTTCAACGTATTTTTTCATTTACGCATGAAAGGTATTGTTTCCTTTCCACTCAGTGTATTTGGTGTTGACTCGATGAACAAAGATTCGCCAGTTTACCTCAATCTCCACCTAATTATATTAATTTTTAATACTCTGTTGTCATATTCCAACTTGTCGTGAGATGTCATGTAACTGAATGCTTACCAAGAGCCGAAAGGTTTTTTGAGATTATTTAACGTAGTGGGGGCAAATATTTTAGATCCAGATAGTTCTCTATCTTTTGATGAGCTAATTGACTGCGATTTATTAGCTTGACCCATGTATCTGTTAATTTATTTTATTTTGCGTTATTGGGTCTGTCGTCAATAAGTTATTAAAAACTCTACCAATAAAAATGTAAGTACTTCTGAAGAGCCCCAAACAAGGGCGAAACAGCTGTCTAGTACTCTCAGGTTTTCCAGTGGTTTTCAAACTGATGTTACCTCATGATCAAACCTGTAACCAATCAAATCGCTACAGACTGAAACTTATATCAAATAAACATAACTTATCTCGAATGATATTCTAGCAGAGTGCTTGAAATTCTATTCTAATATTTATTATTATAATTATTTTCTTTTTGCAAACAGGATTTCAAAGTTCTTCTTGGACACCATATTGCAACTGTATCCTTATTAGCCTTTTCGTATATTACAAATCATCATCGGATCGGTGCATTAATTCTTTTACTACATGATGTCGCCGATTGTTGGATGGAGGTAAGTTGTATAAGGCTTTCCTTAAAATTGCATTATAGATCAGTTTTAAATATGCATATAACTGGCTTCAAGATAGATTCCTTAAAGTTGAAGTAGATGTCGTGACGGCATGGGTTCACTCAGTCATATGTGATGACCGTACGCTGATGACAGTAACTCTAATGGACGAGATTTTAGTATTTATGAAGCTGAATGGAGATCATACTCATCGTGTAGCCTGAAGACCATCAGTTCGAATCCTGGTAGGATCGAGGATGTGCACCGTTGGAAAGTGCTACACTGATGTGGGATAGCTGTTTAGTGCTCCATAGTTTTTATTGGTCCTTTAACTGATGTCACTTGATGATGAATTAGCGGTATTTTGACCCTGAATTCCATTCTTTGAAGGTTATTTGTTTATTTTTGACCAGTTATACATATAATTCAATCAATGGAACTTCATAACTTCATTGAATGGGTTACTCCTTTCACTTAACACTCTACACCTAATCTCGTTACTGCTGAGCATATTTTGCCACCTATAAGGAGAGATAGAAAGCAAACACCTGTGATCAGAATCAGATGAAGTTGTCATATCTTCCACTCTCAAACATCATGTATAATTGATGTGTCATATTAACCTGAGATGAAATCAGCATTACCACTGTGCTCAATTCAGTCGTCTGAAAGTTGAACAGTCCAACTGTGAATTTAATCGTTAGTGATCGTCATTCACATAAAAAGAAAAAATTAGCTGCAGTCTCGATCGTGTAACCCAGTAAGGTATTATAATATTTTAGCTTACTACATAGTAAGGTATTTCTACAAGTGTACAGTACTCTGATGGAGAGGTCACTGATGTGGAGATGGATTGCAACATTGTATACAGGTTGTTTAGGAGGAAATCATAACAGGAAATTAACTTCACTTACAGTTTATGAAGTCTACAAGTTAACAGTTATTGTTTATAAATGTTTGTGCCACATACAGTTACTCCTCTGAGCATTAAGTACTTGTGAAGTCACCTATCACCTGATAAGATCGTCTTGGCAATTGAAATCTATACCACAATGATTGCTGAACAGTTTCATGTAATTTGTCTTCAGAATAATGTTTTAGGAATTTATGCTGCATTTTCATCATAAAATCACTGTTGTAAAACAAATTGATCAATAATAATGTAGGTAATAGAATTCAGTCTGCATCAAAACACACTAGGGAATAGACATCATAACATTGGTTACGCCTTAGTGACCAGTCAATATATCAATCACAGGTCTATAGGGGTGGGTCACTTAGGGACTTGAATAGGTCAGTGCTAACGTCTCTGAATATAGCCCTGAGTGACCTGCCTTTGAATCTTAGGGGGATGCAAGGTAGGGGATTCCGGCAGATTGGCTCCAACCATTTTGCATGTTCTTAGTTTCTCCCAATCAAACAAGTTATTTGGCGTATTTGGACAGTAGGATAAACTTAGTTATTTTGCTGCATAAAAATGTTTTTGAATTAATTCAGATGACTTTATTATCTTGAAAATTAAGTTCGGAGAAGTGTTTTACTAACTTTGCGTTGTGCGTCGGTGGCATAGTGGTTAGGACGCTCGCCGACCATCCACATGGTCCGGGGTTCGATGCCCGGCCGGCGAACTCCTTTACCTTGCTGAGCCGGAAAAATGTTGGTATAGAGGAAAAGTTTGGCATGAGGCTAGCAACCCGATCCTGTAAAAATAAACACCACTGCTACAAAAACTTCAAGCCACCAGCTTGAGGCCCTATGTTCCACTGGGAACGCGAAGGAAATAAAAAAAACATCCAGCTTTTAATAAATCGGTCCGATGGAGTCATGCTCCATTTACTTCAACCAGAGGACTAATGACCCTTACATGGTAAGTTTATGGCTCACAGTCTGCTATATGAAAACTATCTGTTCAGGGTAACTGAATAATAATAATAACAGATTCCAAAATATCTGATTTAACGAGTAGTGGATATTCAAAGATAGTAAATTTGCGCTTATATTTTAAGATTTTTGACACAGATAAACGTAGAGTGTTGTACAGAGCTTCCAAAGGTTAGCACTAAATAAAAGTTACTGGAAAAGTTAAGAATTTCAGTAAATACTGAGCACCTCTACATCCCTATGAAGAGATACTGTAGGCATTTCTGTTCACTTACCTACATGGCTTAGATAATCACTAACTATACATAATGATTCCAGTGCCTTTATCTAAAGACCTCCAATTTTCTGCTGATCTAATCCTACTGAGGTTTGGAACCCACAACACTTTTGTTAGCCACAATATTCAGAGGGATACTCAGTCTTATTAAGTGGTGATTGAAAGAAGATGCAGACAAGTTAGAAGGAGCTTGAGACCATTGTAGGATAATAAACTGAACAAATCCTTTCTGCACATAGATTTCGAGGTTGCTTTGAAGAATCGCCAATACCTTGGAAAACTGACATACCTGGCACCGGTCAACTTAAATTTTTAAATTATTTTAAGAGAAGATGCTGGTGGATCTACGTGATCTGAGTGTATCATTACCGCCTTGACAAACATGCAGGATAGTGTTCTCAGATGGGCTTGGAAAGTGTGTGCTTTTTACGGTTAATATAACTAGCTACACAGGGTAAATTAAATTTATAACTAAACAGTTAGGTGTTCCAAGGAGGCGGTTCGTCTTCCACACAATCGCTGGTCCTTTGCCAACTGTAGAAGTCGTTACATAGCTCCACCGAAAGGAGTGCTTTTCTGAAAGCCGTTCTTCACAATCTGAGTCGTATCATTTTTAGATGCAACTTCCATGAGTCCTTTCTCTCATCTTGTTGATGAATCTTGTAGGTTATCTGTTTTGAATGAGGTCTTGACTGAGTATCATAAATACAGGTAAAGACCCTTGTAATTCTTGAAGACTGAGGAGTAAATCAGGTTTCTGTTCTTTCTCTAAGGGATCCATCTGTGAAAATTCATGTGCAGACTATTCCATATCGGCTTGTCGTAGACTGACTTCTGAAGAGTACCACCAAACCTTTTCAGCATAATATTCTAAAATTAAATTTCACTGCTGACCTCGGATTCTAATGTTAACTAGATGATATGATGGCATTATTGAACTCCTTCATTCTAACTGCGATCTCGGCATCGTTGTTACATATGATGAATGTGTCATCCATGTATATTTTGTTCATCTCATTTCAAATCTCAATAATGGGTCTTAATGCATTATTTTCTCAATAAACCAGGAATCACTCTGCAGGTAGCGGACCTGGTGTTAACTCAGTTACCATTGAACTTGTCCAAGTGGTTTATTTTCCTTATTTCTATGCATAATCGAACCCTGAATCCCCACTGTTTGCTTTTATCAGGCGGAAAAGATTATTTTTATTTTATTCCTTTACCTTCCTAGTGGAACATAGGGCTTCAAGCTAGAGGCTTGAAGTTTCGGTGGCAGTAGTGTTTATTTTTTACAGGATGGGGTTGCTAGCCTCATGGCCAACCTTCTCTCTTTACAAGTTTTATTACTGGCTTAGTGAGGTAAACAAGTGCGTCGGCCGGGAGTCGAATCCCAGACCACATGAGGCGTGGTTGGCGAGGATTCTACGTCTATGCCACTGACGCACGAAGCTTTTATCAGTTAAAATATCACAATTACAATAAGAAGTGAACTACTGCTCACCATACTGACTAAAATACTTAGGAAATTCACCAGATTACCTACATAATTATGAAGATTAAGTAATTCTAAGTGTTGACATATTTTAAAATTATCATTATGATTATTATTTGATTACAGGCAGCTAAATTATGCAAATATGTTAAGAAACATGCAGCCTCTGAAGTGTTATTCACTATTTTTGTATTTGTATGGATTGTAACAAGATTAACTTATTTCCCCTATGGTAAGTATTCAGTTTTCTGAGTATAAAAATATTTCCATTTTATGAATTAAAATAATATCAGTTTGAAAGAAGAATATCTCTTTCAGTGAATCCCTTTAAGTTTTTACATTTATAAATACAATAATAGCCAGTTATGAGGATATGTGATACAACGTTGAAATGATACTTTAATTTCCCTTCTTCACGTTGCCTATTATGAGCCTATTATATTCAGCCCCACCAGTATTGCCTCGCATTTCATAATCCTTTGCAACTGCATTCAGGCTAACGGGCAGCGAGGAAACATGCATAAAATGGACCCTCACGAAAAACCTTGAGGAACTGGACTTCGCCGATGATATATGTCTGATTTCCTACAAACTGGAAGATATGCAAGTGAAAAGCAACAAGTTGGCGACAGAAGAAGCATCAAACATAGGACATCAGGTAAACATAGACAAAACAGAGGTGATGAACATTCCTGGTCAACACCAACAGCAACAACAACAGACAACAATCAGCCAACATAAATGGGAAGAACCTGAAAGAAACAACATCCTTTACCTACCTGGAAGCATCGTTTCAACTACAGGCGGACGGAACTAACGAGGACATTAAAGCAAGAGTCGGGAAAGCAAGACAAGCTTTCATTTCTCTCAGCTCTGTATGGAGGTCAACAGCACTCAGCATGACAATGAAAATAAGATTCGGATTTTCAACTCCAATATGAAGGCAGAACCACTTATTGTACGGATCAGAGACTTGGCCAGCGAGTCATAAAGAGCACCTCAAACAAACTACAGGCCTTCATTAACAGCTGTCTTCGCTCAATACTACTCAAGATCAGATGGCTCACCAGTTAAGATTAGCAACAGGGATCTCTGGCAATGAGCGAACCAACCAGGAACCGTTTGTACAACAAATAAGCAGGAAGAAATGCAGTTGGTGGATTGGCCATACTCTGAGGAAACCAACCATCAAGTGACATCACTAGACAAGCGATTGCTCGAGTGGAACCCGAAAGTGAAGCGGCGAGTTGGTCGTGAGTGCAAGGGTGACTCGGAGGAGGTGATGTGAAGATGAGATAAAAGCATGTGGGCAGAACTGGAGCCAGGTGAAAACTTTAGCGGAAAACCGAACGCAATGAAGAAGTGCAGCTGAAGCCCTATGTTCCTCTAGGAATTAAAGGAAATAGTAATGATATTTGTCATAGAAATATTTTTCTGAAGTTTGGTTGACAACCATTTGACTGATTTCACTTTTCACCATTAATTATCTCCAGTTAATTCTTCTCTATGTGCATTGTCCTCACCCACTGAGAAGTGTTAAAAGTTCGTATAAGTTAGCACGCGATGCACTGTTGAGAAGTTAGAGTGATATGTCGTTTCTTACTTATATTCATTATACCTAATTCACTGCAATTATTCAAGTGGTTAATTCTAGTTTGAAATGGATATTTATTTCTCAGTGTCCTCCGTCTATTAGAAGTGAAATTATATAAATAAGGTTAAAAAAATAGAAGCTCATTTGTATGGTGGTGGATTGGAGTAAAAATTAAGGGTGAGAATTTCGTCCAACTTGAGACTCGTTAGTTGGATATACGTAAACTCTACTGAGTGGTGTTTTTCTCACCGAGACTTGAACTCAGGATCCATTTCACTGTGAGTAAACACCAAAGAAATAACTTTCATAATGACTAACTATCTAAAGTAGTCTTTAGTTGGTGAACTGTTATAAGCGGTCTAATGGGAGAAGTAGGAGATCTAGCTGGATAGCTCGTGTGATAATAAACAATCAGTAGAATATCATTTGTTCATATGACAGCTGGGCTATAATAAAACGAGAAACTTATTAACAACCACGCTTTATGGCTTACTTAGATGGTAGAGAGCCGGACTATTAGGCCGCTGGTTTGTATGCTACAGCGATCCAGATTTCCACTTCACCTTCAGCTATTACCTAAGATTTTAAGGAAGTCCGTTCGATTTTAAATTAAAATTTTTTATTCAAGAATTGGTTTGTAGGGATTTGGTTGATTGGTTACAGGATTTCATCATGAGCTGACATTAGTTAGAGAACCATTGGAAAGCCAACTGGGAGTACTGGACAGCTGTTTCGTCCTAGTTTGGGACTCTTAATCAGTACCCACCCACCGGGGTTCGAACTCAGGACCTTCTGGTTACAAGGCTAGCGAGCTCGTAGACCAATAAGCGACTGGGACCTGATCCAATGGCCCATGAATTCCAACTTCTGCCAGTTCACTATATAGCCTAACCGCTAGCCAATGTCTTCGACGAGTATTTGTCCTCACATCCGACTTGCTACACCCTACTGCACACAGCATTTTTGATACAAGTATGGAATTTTCAGCATGTAATATCGGTAGCGCAAATTTATCAGGCCGACCACTGATATCAGGTGTGCGTCGGCAGAGGATCGAACCCCAGACCATTTGCATGGTTGACGAGCGTCCTAACCAGAATGGGGTAGCCCAACAATCTGGTGCAGAAATATCAACAGGAGATTACAAGTATAGATAAATAAGGCTAATAATAGTAAACATTTTAGTAGTAGTTGGAGTAGGAAGAATAAGAGTTGGATGACAGGTGTTAAAGAATGATGCTTTCAATCATATTTTCAGCGATTTTGCTTCATTTACAAGTCACTTTATTTCATAGCTAAAACTTCTCTGTGGTTATTGGCATTTACTGTTTCTGAATAATTTTTATGTAATGAAAAAATACTTTCTGTTATCATTGTTGAAATGTTCGTTAAAAGTGAGTAATCTTCAACATTCTTAAATAGTATGACTGCCATGTTAATTAGTAAATCTATAGAGTAGTCACTGTAGAAGCTTGAAAATAATTTTGGTTGCCTAAACAGACACATGTACGACAACGGCACATGTCAAGTGATCCACAACGGAAAACTCGGCGAGGCGTTTGGAGTGAACACAGGAGTCAGACAAGGGGTGCTTATTATCACCAATGATATTCCTGATTGTGGTGGACTGACTGGATTATGTGTCAGACAGTGGGAAACGAGAAGACAGCGATATCCTGGACGGACCGACGTCAAGAACCTAGAAGACCTGGATTTCGCGCGTGGATGGTTTATGCTTGATGTCACACAAAATTGAAGACTTACAAGCGAAAACTGACAAAATGGTCAAAGAAGCAGGAAAGACAGAGGTTATGAAAATAATCAACCAACAACAACAACAGCAGCAACATCCAGCGCCAATCACCATCAACAGGAGAGGTTTGAAAGAGGTTACTTCATTCACTTACTTATCTAGGGAGGATTGTCTCAACTACAGGAAGTCGAAACGGACGAGGATGTCAAATCGAGCGAGAATCGGTAAGGCGAGCGAGAAACACATCATTCACCAACCTGAAACCATTCTGGAAATCTTCGTCACTCAGCATCAACAACAAAATTCGGTCGGAGTTTCAATACAAACAACGTCAAGTCAGTCAGTTGTTCTATACGGATCAGAAACTTGGCGGGCGGGTCACAAAGAATATTTCCAACAGCCTGTTGCAGACCTTTATCAATCAACAACTGTCTTCGCTGGATCTATGCTGAAGATCAGATGGCCGAGTCGGAAAGAATCACCAACAGGAAACTATGGGAAGAAACGAGACAAGAACCAATCGCCCAACAAATATGCAGGAGAAAGTGGAGATGGATTGGACACTCGTTGAGGAGGCCAGTTGGTGACATAGCGCGTCAGGCCATTGCTCGAGTGGAACCCGAAAGGGAAGCGGCGAGTGGGTCGTTAGTGCAAGGGTGACATGGAGGAAATCGAGTGAAGAGGAGTTGAAAGAGTATGGATTAACATGGATGCAGGTGAAAAGCACAGCAGAAGACAGAAGCAAGTGGAGACGTGCAGTTGAAGCCCTATGTTCCACTAGGAACTCAAGGGAACAATAACAATAATGAACAGACACATAAATTGAACATACACTCTGTGATCAAAACTAAAAGGTTTTGTGAATTAAAAAAACACTGCAATGTATTTGCATTGAAAGTTGACAGAAAATAAAAGAAGTCACCATCTTGAAATTTTGAATACATAGAGTGATTATGTAATTACACTATTGTTCATCCCTTACTTCCAAGTGGAACATACATCCTTGGTGTGGTATGTCTTCATTCTATTCTGTTTTCTGCTGTCATCTTCTGTAGCGACCGAAAAAAACCAAGTGTTGTGGTGTGAATTCTGAAAACCAACCTTCTTGTTCTGCGGTATAGCTAACCAAAACTTCTCAGACTGACATATTCACAAAGTGCTTCAAGGACATCAAAAAGGACAGTTGTTTGCAATAAAATATCCGTGATGCTAATAATAACCTGTCAAAAACTCAAACTTACCTCAACAGCTCCGTTAGGCAGCTATACAGATCAGATAATTCTCCAGTACAAAACAAGCAGTTTAGAATAAAGTTAGTTAACGAAAATTAAACTGTAAGAAGCGCCTGAGGATCGAGTTAGATATTCCTAGGGGGGGGGGGATCAAATTTCTGTCACTGACAGTCATGTCATGCATCAAACAATTTTTGCAGACAGTCCAAGGTCAGAATGACATTGGTTCACTCAAACAAAATCCAGGTCGTAAAATAACACACTACCAGTGTCAGTCGCACAACCAGTAAGACGAGCAATAAAATTAGAGATTAATCAAGAACAAAGACAAATAACCTTGTAACCAGGAAATCCTGGGTTCAAATCCCGGTGGGTGCGTATTGATGAGTAGTCCCAAACTAGGACGAAACAGCTGTCCAGTACTTTCAGTTGGTTTTCCAATGGTTCTCTAACCAATGTCAGCTCATGGTGAAATCTTGTAATGGGGATTAAATCAACAGGTGATACGCAAACGTTCGAACAATGATAGACGACCTAGAAAAAAAGCCTAGTGACTACAGAGTCAGTTGAAGTATCCAAATAAGTAGTTCTTTCTGGAGGGATTTTCTTTCAGCTGAATCTAAGACTGCTCACAAAATCTTTATTTCCTCTTGACATGATCTTCTCTATGTCACTCTCGGATGCCGAAATCATTTCTGCCTATTCCACTTCCACTTGGAGACCTAGCGTGAAGTCTCACTTGAACGTCTTTGATTTTATGCATTTTATTAGGCAATTCATTCTTGGCTGGTTGGCTGCCGGAGCTTTTTGTTGCCTATCCTTTCTTATCTACAGTCTGATCTTCAGTACTGGGAGATGAGGGCAACTGTTGTGGAAAGTTTTCAGCTTTTTGGGAATTCGTTTAATGACTCACAAAGTCTCTGAACCCTTTAGAATTACTAACTGACTCGACATCAGTGTTAAACATTTGGATCTCATTACATAGAACTATTAGTTCAGCACTTTATACAAAGATAATTGATTTTGATTCTAAGTTTAAGCTTTCAGTTATAATTTTATTGACAGTAAAAGTGTTTGTGTATTGAATAAACGCCAAACACTTGATCTTTATTCTCTCATTTCTTGTCTCATGTATTTATGTAGTTTTGAGTAGTTTAATCAGATATCTATTGACTTATTTCATTGAAGCATTGTAGAGCATAACATTTTTTTATGAAACTATTAAGAGCTGGCGTAAACTAACTCTCTTATCGATCCACTCTTTTCACTTTCAAAAACTGAAACAACCATTTTGTTCACAGTTTCTAATTTATAAATTATTTTTCATTTTTCGTTATCTTTTGAAGACTATTCTCTCATTGTCTGTGGAATCTTTTAATTTATTCATGTTCTAATTCTTGGATAATGGTTATAACAGTAGACATTAGATTATGAGTATACCATTCTGGGAATTTGAAAGACTTTAGAATCATGACTCGGTGGGCTGTCTTTCAATGGGACCAATCAAGAAGTTGCTGGTGCATACTATTTACGCGTTTCATAGCTGGAACTAAACAACTTTTCATTTCTTCTAGGTTTCGAAGAGTTTCTGTAATTATTTTCAACTCTCTAATAATATTGCTACCTTTCCGTATTATCTTGAAGGAGATTGTTTCCCACTGCATTAGTGCTTTAGCTGCCGATGGTGACATCATGATAACCACCTCCACAGCATGCTCACGGTTGTCATCTGGGTAACCAGAATAGATTATTGAATCTTCAATTAAAATTCTGGAGAGTCCACATCCATTCCACCTGCTCTTATAGACCACTATCACTTCTATGCCATATCTTCTCAATTTTCGCTACCTAGAAAGTCTTTCAGCTTCCTACGTTGTACGAACGTTCCGCGTCCCAATGCTGACTCTCGCTTTCATCAAGCCAGATGGTTTCAGTCTCAATGAAGGATTCAGTCTTTAGTTTTCGGAGGATGTTGAATCAACAATACAACAGAGACTCATCAGTGGAAACAATGGGAAACCACTTGTCGCGCTCACTGAAGAAAACTTTATCTACGAAACCATTGATTCGCAGGAACGCGAAGGATAAGCTACCACTGTTGGACTCATAAGTGTGCGTTTACGAATTCACCCGCTCGTGTGGAGCTAGGTATGCCCACCATACTCAGCGTTTGCTATCCAAACGTATCATAGAACACTTACCCTATTGGTTTTATAGAGGAGAAAAAAAATTGCTCCTTCACAGCTCTATCCTGGAACACCTGATCGAATATGGAGAACAAGCTAACTCACAAATCAACGTCAAAGTTGTCTACAGAATATGTGGGGATCTCTCTAAGAGAGTGCGATTTAAACTTGTTCAAGTCACAGAAGCAATGGCAGTGGCAGTTCACATGTTGAACCCTGAACTCTGCATACAAAGGAAGTTTTGGTCAGTCATTAGATCTACAGTAGACTTGATCTCCCTCAACAGCATATATATATATATAATTTTTGTTGTTTTGTTTCTTAATTGTTTTATTTTATTCCCCCATCTCCTATCAAATCTCTACCGTTGGTTACTACTGTTATTAACTTGATTATCATTCATTTTTAGTTGAATTCTACTCACCTCCGTCAATTATATTACGTCACCCACCGATTAACGCTTTCTACATTGCGTAATTTGCTATCTAAAATTTACAATTCTTATCGCATATCTTTGAAAATATTCCTTTCGTTTTTTTCCTTTACGTTCCCAGTGGAACATAGGGCTTCAAGCTAGTGGCTTAAAGTTTCTGTAGTAGTGTTTATTTCACAGGATGGGGTTGCTAGCCTCTCATCCCCAACCTGACCTCTTTACCAGCTTTTATTACTGGCTTAGCGAGGTGAAGGGGTGCGTCGGTCGGGGATCGAACATCGGACCATATGTTTGGTAGGGGAGCGTCCTAACCACTGTGCCCCCGACGCACATTCCTTTCGTCGCTAAGACAATTTACTACATATACGCGATTGCATATCTTGAGAATGAGATGTCTAAATATAGTTGTTCTTTGCTGAATGGCTTTTTATATATCTCAATGATGATTTTCACTATGCTTATAGTGATTCAATGTGCATCCGTGACACAGTGGTTAGGACGCTCGCCTACCATGCACATGACCAAGAGTTCGATCCTCAGCCGACGCACATCTGAAATCAACGGTGGACCTGCTCAATTTAGACTACTGATATCATATGCTCAAAATTCCATACGTGTACAAAACAATACTGAATGGAATCAAGCTATAACAAAATAAAAAAGAAAAAATGAACGTATTTCTTTTGTTTTTGTAGGGTCATATGGACAACATATAAATTTGGTATTGTTGAGCATGGACCATATCCAGCTTGTTGTATTATGGTTGGATTTCTGTTAGTCTTACAAGCTCTACATATATACTGGTTTTGTTTAATTGTAAAGGTTGCATTACAAGTGAAAACACAAGGATGTGTAAGTTAGACTACTTTATTTATTTGGTACTAACTTAATGTATTGTTTCATTTATTGTTTGGAATAATTGAGTCGAAATTTAATGCCCAAAACTAATAACCCCAGTAGGATGTATAGTGTTGTTAAAGTTCATAAGTTAGGATACCCTATTAGGCCTATAGTTGATTATAGAAATTCACCTACCTATGAATTATCTAAATATTAAGCCATGGCATTAAATCCCCTTAAAAGCCACTCGAAATCTAGACTAATTAATTCTTATGAAATCAAAAACATAGATTAGATAATTTAAAATTAGATAATGAGGAAAAAATGGTTAGTTTTGACATTGTCAGTTTATATACACGTATAACAATAAATATGGCTTTAGAGGCAGTCAAAAACGAACTCATTTCTGATCAAGAACTGGAACTTATGACGAAAGTGCCAATTGAGAACATAATGCTGTGGGAGTGCAGCTATGCTTGACTTCTACAGTATTTAAATTCCAAGGGAAAATATACAAACAAACTGAGGGAGTTGCCATGGGATCACCAATATCCCTAGTTGTAACAGATATATTCATAGATAGGTGGGAAACATAGGAATTGAAACGTTCACCTCCACTCCAAAAGTATGGTGGAGGTATGTAGATGACACATTCACTCTACTTAGAACACAAGATATAGATAGATTTTTTGAACACGTCAACTCGAAGGTAGAGGCAATTCAATTCACTTATGAATTGGAAAGTCAGAAAAAGGGAGCTTCCAATGTTTGATTGCAACTCAAAAAGGAAAAAAGATGGGAAGTTAAACACTAGTGTTTACAGGAAACCCACACATTCAAACAGATATTTGAATTTCTGATCATCCCATCCTATGTCAGTGAAAATAGGATTAGTGAAATGTTTAAGTGACAGAGCACAATAACTAAGTAGTACCAAGGAAAATCTAAGACAGGGAGTGATACACATAAAAGAAGCCTTGAAACTTAATAATAACCGGAATAAATTAGTCAGGAAATATGTTAGGAAGTGTAAAACTAAAATAATTAATGATAGTAGCAGTAGCAATAATAATATTAATGATAACAATAATAGTGATAATAATAATATTAATGATGACACCAATAATAAGGAATTTAAATCATCAGTAATAATTCCATACGAGGAAGGAACCTCGGAAACCTTAAGCAGAATACTTAACAAGGCAGAAATAAAAGTGGCTGGCATTCAAACCCACGAACTCAATTAGAAACCACCTTTGTCGGTTAAAGGATCAGTCCTGTGGAGCCTTTAAAACAAAACAATTTAGTTTATCTAATACCCTGTCGGAATGATTGTCAGGTCAAATACATAAGTCAAAGTAGCAGAACAGAGGCAGTCAGACTAGCCGAACATAAAAACCTAACAAAATCTATATCGGTTGACCCGAATAAGATAAGAAATCTAGAGAATAAATAGTTCAGCTATACCAGTCACCCCATGCAGTTACACACAACCATAAAATAGGATTGAGGGGATCAGCTGATAGTTAGAAAATCTATTGTCACAGGGTGGAGGGAGAGATTGATAACATGCTTTGTTTATCGAATCAACTGCAAATACACCTGTCCCAGATACCTTGAAAATTCTGCTTCTCCTAGGATGACAAATGAGAGAGAACAAAGAAAACTATAAAACTCCAGTTTCGAAGTCGTGTGATCATAATTGACGATATAATTATGAACCGCAATAAACTGTGTTCGAAACCTTGTCATTCAGTAAATAGTAATGTTTCACTGTGTGACACATCTAATAAACAAACTAATATGGAATTACTTACCATCACAGTGCCCAAGTTTTACACATATATTAAGTCGAAATTCTTGTACGGAAATTAGTCAATCATAAACTCATCTATTCTTACGTTGATTAGTAGTTAGACTGATAAACAACTATTCTCTTTATTATACGCCCATCATTCTGAGCTAAATGATGTATTACCTGAATATTATCTCTCAGTGTGTGCTCTCCACGTATTAGCTGACTGAAGTATCACCTAAAGATAGTATATAACGTTGGTTGCAGAAACCTGATATTCATGCCATAGTCATATTGTGATGAGAGCAGGCTGCTAGCCAATTGGTAGACATTAATCTACGTCAACGTCTAGGTCACTAATATTGGTGGTGAGAAAATATGAACAAGGCTGATTCAACAACCAATCACAGCAGACTTAACGTGAGCAAATATGATTCGCAGATAGATGGCTTAACTTTCCGAGAAATACGAAACAACCAGTCAGAAGACTGCGTTTGTCTGCTCAATAAGCTGTAATAATGCACATGAAATATATATAAATACGTGCTGATTTCCGTAATAAAACGATCTGTTGTCGGCCCTTGTTTTCTGTTGCTACAGTAGTAGCCATGTAACAGCTGGCATGTTTTTCAGGCAAAAGTTATCAAACCCCTAAATTAGGAACAACACTGTTTTTATAAATTCAGCAGGTTGCTATATTAATCTATTTTCAGTTGATCTAAATGATTGTTTATTCTCTTTTCAAGTACAGGCAGAAGCATGCTGAGTAATATCACTGGAGATAAAATTTTCACATAACTCACTTGTTCCACACAGAATGTTTTTATGGTTTAGGCTTTGAAAAACACATCCGTAATTCAAGTGTTGGTTTTTAGGGATTTGATTGGTTGCACGATTTCATCATGAGCTGATATTGGCTAGAAAAACCATCTGTAAACCAGGTGTGAGTACTGGACAGCTGTTTCGTCCTAGTTTGGGACTCTTCAGAGGTACGCAATCACACTGTGAGGTTCGAACTCAGGACCTTCTGGTTACAAGGCGAGCTAGCTCGTAGACCATTAAGCCACTGGAACCCGATCCAATGGCCCATGAATTCTAACTTCTGCAAATTCACGACATAGCGCCATTTCTGGTCAATGTCTTCGTCCTCTCACCCGACCTGCTGCATCCTACTGGTCACCACTTCTCACTAGAACCCCAGGTAACTACCCACCTGAATAGGGCAAGTCCCTAGTGAGCATCTTGTTGATATTCAAGTGTTGGTTTGTAGGTATTTGGTTGATTGGTTACAGGATTTCATCATGACTGATGAAGCTTTCAGGATCGTCATATTCATAATAATCACAATAATTAATCATTTGATGTCATATTATTCCATCCGAAAAATGCTTCAATAATTCCTCCATCATTTCCTTATGAAGGTTAGTAGCAGGAGGTTGGAATTTATTTGAAAATGTATATGAGTGTATATTATACTTCATGGATGTAATTAAGCGATTAGAACAATATTAAATACAATAAACTTGAATGCAATTTTATAGTTAGTGCAGTGATATATATATATATATATATATATATATATATTTAGATCACCGAAGAAACCAATCGAGATAAATGTTCAGAAAAGTTCCTCGACTCGAGTTGCTGCACGTTGTCAATAGAACATAAGGATAGCAGAAGAATATAAGTAATAGATTATTAAATGTGAAAAACAACGTAAGGTCAGAAAAAAAATAAACAACTAGTGTCCTAAACATATCCACCTTATTTGCACCATTCACTGCTTCTTGAAATACAAGTATTCTTTGAGTCGTGCATTATTTTATATTTAAAACCAATAAATAGCACATTTCACCAGTAGATGGTATGAGTTGCAATATGAATTCTTCTCATCACTTTTCGTGTGGTTCAAAGTTTGCCAGTGTCTACATCTGAGGATCTCACTTTTCTTTGTTGATATAAGTCATTTAAAGAAATAATGGAATGCAATAAAATGACATTGTTTCCTCTAAACAAAGATATAAAGGAAATAAGTAGCATTTTTCTAAGTAGTTTGGCGAGTTCTGAAAAAGAAAACACTAGACTGTAATTGTTAAGTTTCATCTTTTGCTTTAGGGACCGGAATTCAATAATGATAATAATAACAACTTATTCTGGACAGTATATCAGCACACAATGCTGAATTCACAAGGTATTTTATTGTAAAATATTTACTATTCAAAACAAGACATACATGAGAACAGTATTGTCTTCAGATAGATCTTTAGGCTTTACTCTTATGTACGCATCTCTGCATAAAGAAATGATGAACTTGTGGGTTAGAACATAAGTCCATAATTTTGTTAATATGACATTAGTAACAGCTTCATTGTAGACTCATTCATGAACCAGTATCACTTAGAGATTGTTGGAAATCAGAAAGCACTAGACGGCTGTTTTGTCACTGTTTGCTTCTCTTCGTCGATGCACACCAACTACCCCATCAAGGATCTAACCGGTTAATTTCAGGTTATGAGATCAAGCTCGTTGACTATTCAACCTTTTTGAGCTGGAATTCAATGAACCATGAGTTCTATCTTCTGTCAGTTTGTGATAAAGCTACTCTTAACCAGTGCCTTGGATTAGTATCTACTTCATCTTGGTATGATGTACCCTATTAGTTAAAATTTCTTAGTACTATTTTATAATATCAATGTAGTAGCTATAGATGAGTTGGAGACTGATGTTTGGACTATGGGTTTTTGTAACGATTTGGATTTTGTTTTGTAACTGAATCTAAACTCTAAAATCAATCCCTATCCACACAAAATATCATATTATTATTTATTATTATTTCCTTTAATTCCTAGAGGAACATAGGGCTTCAGCCGTGCGTCTCCATTGCCTTCGGTTCTCTGCTAGAGTTTTAACTCCACTACAAGTCTGCTCACACGCTTTCATCTCCTCTTCACATGACCTCCTCCATGTCACCCACTGACGACCAACTCGCCACATCTCATACGGCTTGGCTTCACTCTAGGGCTTGTCTAGTGATGTCACTTGATGTTTGGTTTTCTCAGAGTATGGCCAATCCATCTCCATTTCTTCCTGCTTATTTGTTGCACAATTGGTTCCTGTTGGGTTGGTTGGCTTCAAGACAGCCCTGTTGTTGATGTTTTCTGGCCATCTGATCTTGAGTATTGAGTGAAGACGGCTGTTGATGAAGGTCTGAAGTTTGTTTGAGGTGCTCTTTATGACGCGCTGGCCAAGTCTCTTATCTATATAGTAAGTAGCACTGCCTTCACATTGAAGTTGAAAATCTGGATATTATTTTTGATGATGAGTGCTGTTGACCTCTACACAGACTTGAGAGTAATGAAAGCTTGTCTTGCTTTCGTGATCCTTACTTTGATATCCTCGTTGGTTCCATCCGCCTGTAGTTGAAACGATGCTTCCCAGGTAGGTAGGTAAAAAAGGTTGTTTTTTTTCAGGTCAGGAATTTTCATCACCTCTGTTTTCTCTATTTTCACCTGAAGTCCTATCTTTCACGCTTCTTCTGCCAACTTATTGCTTTTTCACTTGCTTATCTTCCAGTTTGTGGGAAGTCAGACGTATATCATCGGTGAAGTCGAGATCCTACAAGTACACGAAATTTCATAATCTAAATAATAATGACAACGATTATAATTAAGACAATAATAATGATAATAAAGTAAATGATAGGAAAAGTTAAAGCAGCTGACACAAGTGGCATTAACAATAATCAAGACAGAATGATAGTATAAACGACTGTCTAAGTAAATTAAATCAAACTTTTCTAGCATTAAAAGTTGCCTAATACTGAAGGTGAAGTGGATAAACAACCAGAATTTAAATAATTTATTCGATTGAATTTTCTATTTCCAGTTGATTGATTATATTGAACCGAAATGTTTGTTCTCTGTTCACATGTCGGCTTCTAGTACTAACTCTCCAACAGTGTCTTGAGGTTAAAATTCTGTTATTTGGTGGACAGTGGCCAGCATTTTGTGCTATTCAGGACTCGTTAATTTGGGTGTACCTTAACCCAGCAACTATCGTTCGAGACATAGTGTATAGTACCATCAGCTGTGTCACTGGGCCACAAGAGTCACCACCTTGTGAACCAGTTATCAGTTTTTCCTATTTTTGGGAATTATTTTGAATTTCACTTGAAATAATGACTGCTGGATTCAACTCCTTTTGAGAATAGCATCACTTACCCAAGATACAGGTACACTGAACAAACTGATGGAACTGAAGTAAGCTAAAACACTTACTTTTGATTCCATTGTTGTCAATCATATAATGTAACTTTTTCATTTCAATGTTGTTGTTTTAAAAATTTTCAATATACACACAGTTGGCTAAAGATTGTCGCAGTGAAAGTGAACTGTCTGATTCATCAGATCCACCAATAAAAGCTGATTAGTTCTAATTCACAATAATAACAACAATTTCAATCATGCACAAAAAATGAAGAGAAGGCAAATCAAAATCAAAGTCCAATGACGAACAAAATAACCTCGGAGAAAAAAAATTTATGCATTAAATATCATGATAACACCGATTATACAATCATCAGTTAAATAGAGAAAAAGATTTTGAAGGTAACATTTCTTTCTTTTTTTGTTTGTGTGCTCTAACTTCCCATGTTTTGTGATACAGTGATGCTTGTGTGTGTGTTTAAGTTTCCACTAATTGGCTTCTTCACAATGTCACTGTTTATTTCTTGGTTTTCATCTTCAATGCCCCTCTCCTCCTCCTCTTTCCGTCTATCGCTATTCCTAGCAAAGAATACTGACTATCCGAACGGTTATTAAATCATGTAACAGACAGTATCTTTTGTATAGGCAAAAACCGACCACAGGGTCGTCATTTGATGTATCTTATGGACTGTACTTTCTTATTTATCTGTCTCAATGTATGTATTAACATTTTCCTTTGTTTACTGTTTACTATTGTTAATAATTTATGAAAGTTTAGGTGGTAGTATCACTTCCAATGTTTAAAGTATCCTACCTTATATCTTTCCTGGATACTTTTTTTCTTGGACTGGAACAAGCATATAAAACGGATAGGTTCATTTTATCATTCCGTCGATTGGTAGGTATCTCTTGTCAAAACCAAATGCTTACAAGCTGAAAGAATGAATGAAAGTTGCCGCTGGTTTCATTTACTAACCACAAGCTTAGTATACTCTACTTTATTATTATAAGTATTTATTCCTACTCTATTTATTATTGGTGGTTATTGTGTTCTTTTTTATCACTTCATATTCGTCCTGTTTTCCTAAAAACATAATTATAATATAAAAAACTCTGTATGAATTGTAAAAATATTTTTTTTAAAATATTTATTTTCGGTTAATCTCCTACATGAACTATTTTTCCCCATAGCGATTTAGTTTTTTTGTAAAAATATACATATCTGTGATGTAAGTTACACTATGACAATTTGTCGAACTTTTGGAATATTGATTTTTATTATTATTATTATTATTATTATTATTATTATTATTGGTAGTAGTGTGAATTTATTGTGAATAAACATGTGATTACTGTTTGTAAAATGATTGAACTTCCGTTTTTTTTCTTTTGAAACAAAAGAAAGGCTACTTCTTTTCGTTATATTTACATATATTGAACCCTTGAATAGTTGAATGTGATTTAAACAAAACGGAGCCAGATTTAAATCAGGGTGAATTATGCTCTCTGGTTGTCTCTCCCGTTGTTTACATCAAACCATGTCATAAATTGTAACTTATACTTGTGAAGCAAAAAGGGTGTTATCATCACTATTATCGTCTATAATTGCTAGAAAATATTATTATTATTTCCTCTAATTCCTAGAGGAACATAGGGCTTCAGCCGCGCGTCTCCATTGCTTTCGGTTCTCTGCTAGAGTTTTCACTCCACTACAAGTCTGCTCACACGCTTTCATCTCCTCTTCAAATGACCTCCTCCATGTCACCCTTGCACTGACGACCAACTCGCCGCTTCCCTTTCGGGTTCCACTCGAGCAATCGCTTGTCTAGTGATGTCACTTGATGGTTGGTTTCCTCAGAGTATGGTCAATCCACCAACTGCATTTCTTCCTGCTTATTTGTTGTACAAACGGTTCCTGGTTGGTTCGCTCATTGCCAGAGATCCCTGTTCCTGATATTTTCTGGTCATCTGATCTTGAGTATTGAGCGAAGACAGCTGTTAATGAAGGCCTGTAGTTTGTTTGAGGTGCTCTTTATGACGCATCAAGTCTCTGATCCGTATAGTAGCACTGACTGACTTCACATTGGAGTTGGAAATCCGGATCTTATTTTCATTGTCATGCTGAGTGCTGTTGACCTGCACACAGAGTTGGGAGTAATGAAAGCTTGTCTTGCTTTCTCGACCCTTACTTTAATATCCTCGTTAGTTCCATCCGTCTGTAGTTGAAACGATGCTCCCCAATTAGGCAGGTAGGTAAAAAGAGGTTGTTTCTTTCAAGTTCTTCTCATTTATGCTGACTGATTGTTGTCTGTTGTTGTTGTTGCTGTGGCTGTTGGTGTTGGCTAGGAATCTTCATCACCTACCTCTGTTTTATCTGTGTTCACGTAAAGTCCTGTCTTCTCTGGATTCTTCTTCTTCCAACTTGATGCTTTTCACTTGCCTATCTCCCAATTTGTGGGAAATCAGACATCTACCATCGGCGAAGTCCAGATTCTCCATGTTTTTTGTGTAATTCAATTTTATGCCTGTTTCCTCATTGCCCGCTCTCTGTCGCATTATCCAATCCACTGCAATCAGGAAAATCATTGGCGATAGTAGACAGCCTTGTCTCACTCCCGTCTTTACTTCGAAGGCTTCCGTAAGTTTCCCGTTGTGGATTACTTGGCATGCAGCATTGTCGTATAACTGTTGGATGAGATGAATAATTGTCGATGGGACCCCGTAGTAGCGAAGTAGTTGGAAAATCACCAGCTCTCGATCGACGCTGGACTATCGAAGGCCCTTTCAAAGTCGATGAAGTTGAGATAAAGAGGTGACTGCCATTCCAAGCTTTGTTCAATGATGATCCGTAGTGTGGCAATTTGATCAATACATGATTTGTTTCTCCTGAATCCAGCCTGTTCCGGTAGAAGGTTTTCATCCATAGTGGCTTGTTTGATTCTCTTCAGGATGATTTGGCTTAGTATTTTGCTTGGGATGGACAGGAGCATAATTCCGCGCCAGTTTTTGGATTGACTTAAGTCTCCTTTCTTTGGTAAGTTGGATAAGTATCCTTTCTTCCAATCCTCGGGTACTGGAATATATAAATGTAAATAAATCACTGAATAAATGTATGGATAAATAATTAATTAAAACAATGCATTAATATTTTATTGACACAAAGACCTTATCGAAGCATCTGTGCTGCCAGTTCACATGTGAAAACCAATCAGTGGGGTGGTCTATGAAACAAAGATTTCAGCAAATAATGACTGATACCTGTTATACTTAAGAGGTGGCATTTGGACCCCAGTGGTTTATTAGATGACACCTTGACGCTTGAAATTATTGCGTGCTGGGTTTGAAACTCAGAAGGATAACTATCACTCACTGAAGGAATGCGCAGGTTAATTGAGCTGACGCATCCCGGATGGAGGACATAACACTTCAGAAGTCTAGTGAATAGGTGAATTTGCTAATTTCTGTTAAAATAACTGTAGCCACCTCAGATGACGAGTCCTCATTAGGGTGGGTCACTTTTGGTGGATTACACTAATAATTACTATTAAAAAGTGAAAACGGCTAAGAAAACAGTTGTCTTTTTCATAAATTTTATTCCAGTATTAAGTGTGTATGCATTTATAAAAAGACCATGTCATGCAGACATTCAACCTTATTCTTTATTTTGCTGATCATTGGTGATAGTCATTATTATTGATTGCTTGGGTTTCGAGTGTAATGTAGAGGGCCTAAGCAGTACATCTTCACTGTACTTGTTTCTTTACCGACAATTCCATCTGGCCACACCACTGCCCATAATCGTTTATTCTTCAATACGCGATTTCCTTAGTGCCATGCCTGGATGCTAAATTCATCATTTCTCATTTGGGTTCCACTCGAAGGCCTGTCTGGTGTGTAATGTCACATGAATATCTCCTCAGCGTACGTCTAGTAAATCCTTGTGCATACTCATCGTGCAGTAGGCTACTGATTGTCTCGTTTCCAGAGTTCATAGTTGTTAATCTCTTCCAGGTAGCCATCTTATCCTCAGTGTTGAGGCGGTGAAGATGATGATGTTGATGAAAGTTTGCAATAGCCTGTCGGAAATGCTTCTGGGTGAAGCACGCGCTGGGTTCGTGAATCATTTAGAAGCACTGGCTTGACATTAAGGTTGAAAATTTGTAGCTTCCACGTCTTGCTTATACATATCTTCCATTTGTTTCTTTTCTTAAAAGTTCCCAAGTCTGTCATTGTGTTTTCTAGATTGTATATGTACAAGGAATATGTAGAAAATTCCTTCTATGCTTGGCAGCATTTGATAAATTCGGCATGCTTATAAAATGCAGAGCTTTGATTTGAGACTGTATGACTGTTTGATGTTCCAACAATCTTAACTACATAAGTTAACATGATATGGAATAAGTAGACATTTGCAATAAATAGTGTTCTCTGAGCTGGTTGGTTCGAATTAGAATCCTAGAACACAAATTAGCCGTAAAAAGACACGATTTATGTTCTTTAGTATCAATGCACGTAGACAATTACGGACATCAATTTGATTGGGATAATGTCGAAATCTTAGACAGAAGAAACACCAAAAGTGCAGTCAGGGAATTCCTAGAAGCCTGGTACTCAAACGAAAATTCAATTAACAAACACGTTAATATAGACGATATATTATTATTCCCTTGGGTTCCTAGTGGAATAGACGGCTTCAACTGCACGACTCCACTTGCTTCTTTCTTTTGCTGCACTTTTCACCTGCATCCATGTTAGTCCATACTGTTTCAACTCCTCTTCACATGATCTCCTCCATGTCACCCTCGCACTGACGTCCCGTTCGCCGCTTCGCTTTCAGCCTGGTTCCACTCGACCAATGGCCTGACGCGCGCGCGATGTCTCCCAGCAGCCTCCTCAGTGAGTGTCCAATCCATCCATCTCCACTTTCTCCTGCATATTTGTTGGGCGATTACTTCTTGTTTTGTTTGTTCCCATAGTTTCCTGTTGGTGATTCTTTCCGACTCGGCCATCTGATCTTCAGTATAGAGCGGAGACAGTTGTTGATTGATAAAGGTCTGCAACAGGCTGTTGGAAATATTCTTTTTGACCGACCCGCCAAGTTTCTGATCCGTATAGAAGAACTGACTGACTTGACGTTGTTTGTATTGAAAATCCGACCGAATTTTGTTGTTGATGCTAAGTGATGAAGATTTCCAACTAATAAAAAGTAAATCAGGTGACCAGA